TATAAGCATTTTCATCATGGTTTTATTTATTACAAACATATTCTTTCACCATCAATACACATTGAGGCCCTTCTTTTAGGTTAAAACGATCTCTTAAATTTGTCTTTTCTTGAGTTCGGGACTATTATGTGTTTAAATAACTAAAAAGGATAAACCTAAAAAAACCCTAAAAAATGCGCGCAAAATCATCAGTGTGTTTTTAACAAGAAATGCGCGCAAAGAATTTGAGAATGTTAGGCACTTTCAGAGGATGCATTTGTCAAGGGGTGGGGAAAGATCTTCCAAAGATGGATATTTTCCCCTTGTCCCCCGGTGTTTTTAATTCTAATTTCGTTGGAATTGATCAAAACTCCCTAAAATGTGCAATTTTTAGAGGAAATTGGCCCATGTAAACAAGAAATGCGCGCGAAGCGCCCGAAATTTGAGGTTTTTAGGCACTTTCAGGGGATGAAAAGGGCATTGAGTTTATAAAGGGGTGGGCAAGATTTTCCAAAGATAGATATTTTCCCCTTGTCCCCTAGTGGTTACGCCATTGGGCACCATAGATCAAAGGAGTTATGACAATTTTTGAAGTGGAGAAGTGGTTGCAGGTTGTTGTGAGTCTGGACATTATGATATCTTCCTTTTTATTCTTGTCTTTATTTTTCTCTTCTCTTTTTCTTTTCCTTTCCTTTTCTTTTCCACTTCTTTCTCCTTCCCTCCCTCTCCCCTTTTTTTTTCTCTTATTACCCAGCCCGGTATCCGACGGCCTGGTCAGCCCGAAAAACCGTCGGGGGTGGGGGGGTAGGTCTGCCCCCGCCTGTTATGCCACTGAGTGGAGGTGTTTATATTTAGGTGAGTTACATAAGCTAAGGCTGTTAAATACTTTTCTACGCCACTGGATATCAAGGTGTTGCAGTCTGCATCTAAGAATTCAACATCCTCATTGTCATCGTCTTCCAACTCAAGTTGTTTGGCAGATAACCCGTGGTGGTTTCTGTAGCAATAAATAAATAATTAAATTGAAAACAAAAATATACGGTAATATATATTCATTTGAGGTTGTTGGATTTGGTCTCGGGATAATAGTTCGTAGATGTCCAAAAGCACCTGTGAGATTAACAAAAAAGAGTGCCAAAGTGGTTGTAAGCTTGAAGCCCGGTAAACCGACTGTGGACTTTGTTGAGAAGCTGTGTTGATCCTGACCTTCAACTTGTGCTTACCAAGAAGCAAGCAATTCTGATTCAGGATTGTAGATCACTTAAGTTTGCCAAATGCTGTGCTCATTTTGATGGCCAATTCATCAACCACAACAAATCAACCGCACCATCTTCATTTCGTATTTTATATCTATTTTGCTAAAGTTTTGTGTATTTTACAGTTAAGATTTTTAATATACAAGGGTAAAAACAAGATTTCTGCGGCAGGCCTATTATAGTCGTCATATTGGTTCAATATATCTAATATCATTGATCGGTGTAACCATGGAGCATTGTATGATAAAATAAATGTAAAAGATTTGCATGGCATGTAAATATAATACAATAATTAAACTTTCAGTAAACCTGTGTTAAATTATGGTTTTGAGAAAAAAAAAATTGTTTTTTTCAAAACCATATTCTTACACACGGGCGGGACGTGTTTTGTATGTATGCTTGCTTTCACGAGGGGTTTTAAGAAATTTGATATACCGTACTCGCGCGAATAAGCGCCCCGTTTGAATAAGCGCCCCCTCATAAGATTTTCTTTTCAGGAAGTCAAAAACCCAATCAATCATGGGAATGTGGTTGTTAGCATGATTTGAGCTGTAGAGTCGAAGCACATTCTTCTTCGGTCAATATTTAAATGAGGATATTTCTCTTGGACAGATGAGAGCTCCGATCCCTGAACATGTCAGACAGTATATTTCCAATTTTACTTTTTACGTATTTTCATAAGCGCCCGTTTGAATAAGCGCCCCCAGAAAGTGAACAAAAAATGTTTTAAGCGCCCGGGCGCTACAATATATCGAAACACAACTCATTGACTGTGTGAAAAGATCCAAATAACTTCTAATAAGATCGTACTATGGAGCGCGAATTAGTGCTGTGTGGCAACCAAAATGTTATAGAGTACAGTTAAAGTTAATTATGTCAAAACATTTCGATAGAGAACTGTTGGAAGTACAGCATAGGGAGCATATACAACTTTACGAGAACATTTTATTCTATCGTTAGTGGCGCTTTTAAATTTTACCAGAATTCAGTATGGGTGGTAATTGTAGGCAAGTAGGCTAGTTGTCTCATAATGCTAAACTTGCCTGTTTGTGATATTTTAATAGGGAAACTCTTATAATGTACGGTAATATTTATTCTGAAACGTTTTATTAAAAAATTGAATATAATGCTCTATCGAGCCCACAAAGACACGTAAACCAATGACACCATTTAGGTCTTAGCCATCATCCGCGCTAAGGTATCATAATATAAATACAGTAGGTCACTTGAAGTCATTGAGCATTATAATTTTAAAAGTGACAACAAATTTCCCTGCACTAGGGGTTTTCCCTGGACTTGACCGTGGACTCGCCAGCGCCCCCCCTCCCCCCCCCCCGTTGGGGAGAAAAAGCATAATTCGCCTCCCCGTTGGGGAGAAAAAGCATAATTCGTCGGGGAGAATACAAAATTATATGTATTTTCTACATATTATTGAACTCTAAAGTCGATTAAATAAGCCTTTGAAACCCCTAAATTGTGCTCCAGGACCACTTTCGTGACATTTTAATCGAAGCTCGACCACGCCCACTTTGGTTTCGTCGGGGAGATCTGACCCCTTGTCGGGGCATCGCCCAGATGGGTATAAGAGACAGGGGCATTGAGTTCCTGGCGCCATCCCTGTCGTGGAGGGGGAGGGTTGTCGACGGAAAGGAAGGTGAGCAAATAAAGATTTTGAGCTGGGGTAGGGGTACCAAAGTCCAGTGAAAGACCCTGAATTGGCGTTCCGGTACGAGTTTGAGATCATGTTAGAATCTGTGATACTGTAACATGGTCCCCAGCAGGGGTCATCATTCCCAACAGAGGGTCCAGATAAAGCGACCACTTGAGACAGTGTTGGCCTTTCCACAGGTTCAGTGGAGTCCTTCCGGGGGAAGACCGTGTACGACATCTTATCGATCACAGTTTAATATTTGACCAAAATTATAGCACATTTTCTTCTTGACAAATAAATTAAATTATAACAAATTGAGACTTTCATTAAGGCTAAAATAAGCTGCTACCACAGAGATAAGTAAATGTATTGATTACTCATGTTACCATTTCATATGTCATTATTTTCAATTGTTACGCATGTCTATAACAGAAAATAATAATAATTAAAAAAAACATGCACTCATCGTCATTACCATTGTTAATTTTCATTACATATATACAGTTAGCAATATAGCAATATTCATTCTCCAATGAAATGATATTTTAATATAATCTAATAGAGAGTGTTGCAAAAAAATTATTAACTTGGTATTTTGATATTTTCTCTCCTTATTTAATTTATGATAGAACTTTAAAGTTTTTAAAGTATCATCGACTTTCAATAGGTTAACATTTTTAAATAACGGATCAGTGTGTGCATAAGACAAAATAGCGTCGTATGAACTATTTTCTCTATGGTATGAATAGGGCCTATCAATAGTTTTAAGAATATTTGGTGAAAAGGAAATGCTTAATCTTGTTTAAAATCCCTACTGATTTGGATGTTTTGGTTCTAATAGTATTGATATGACTGTCCCTTTTGAAATGCTTATTTGTAAGCCTGACAGAGAAGTGGCTGTAGCCCCCGTAGCGCCGCCGATGATGCCGAGAATTGTTAGGAAGTGCTTAATATTTTTGTTTGTTTTAGAACAGTTTTTTTTTTTTTTTTTGGCAGAGTAATGATTTTCTTCCTATGCTACATAAATCTTTCAATTATAATGGAAGCCACTGTGGTATCTCGTCCCTGTCTCCAGAGTGGCGCCAGGGTTTGCCCGCTGGTGGAGTCTCTCGTCAACTCTGGAAAGTGGTCCAGGGTTTCAGTTGCATATAAATTTGCATTCTTTATTATAATGGTCAGGATTGAAACTTTTTCCCTTAAAAAATGTGTATCTCATTAGCCGTTCCCGAGTGTTTCGTCAAATAGGCCTACACCCCAGAAGAAAGGCCCGGTAAAAATACCCATGATACAGGGTTGCATTATCACACCATAGTCACACCTACACATAAGATACAAATATAAGCCCTAATGTTATTATTATTTATAATTTAATCTCAGCCTCAATTTTGTTCTTATTTTGTTCTTAATTTTTAAGCAATTTCAGTCTCAGTGTTCCTATAAAATGTATTCTTTAAAAAAAAAAAAAAGTGTGTGCCTCTTGTTTCTTAGAAAATCAGTTGACTGGCTTTAAGTGAAACTGATAATTGATACACTTAACAAAAATAGGCATAGGCCTATATAAACTTAAACTTCAATTCAATCGAAAGTTTGTTAATACCATTAAAGATCAAATAATTCCAACCAGAAACAGATAAAAAAAAGTTTTGCCTATTTACAGACATTTTACTACAAAAATGTAATTTAAATATATGTGTGCATGTGTATGTGTATGGAAGGCTGTATAATGTATGATTTAATATAAAAGCCTATGGCCTGGCCATAGGCATAGGCCTATGCATAAAGTCCTAATTTTAATATCGTTAAAGTTTTAAGATATTAAAACTTCTAAAGTAGAACCAAGTCATTTTTACTATGTTGAAAATATGAACATTTGATTGAAATTTGTCCATAATTGTCGTAGTTGTAAAGAAAAAAAAAAAAATATATATATATAAAATGAGACAACCCTCTTTGTGGCGTAGCAACCTTTCAGCCGTACGTTTGCTTGAGTTTCTTGAGAAATACTTAACTTCCCACTTTCAACCCCGGAAGTACAGACACGATCGAACATGGCCGTCGGTCGAATCCTGTATTGTGATGCATCCTTGTTGATATTTGATGCTTGCAAATCTATGAATTAGGAGTTTGATTCTGCAACGTCTAAGGAGGATTTAAACCAGTATTCTGTGTTTGACTTGATTTAAAATGATGGATGTTAAGAGTTCTTAAGTAAGCATATTTGGCCGTGGATAAATAGGCCTAAAAATAGCTAGCATCGTCTGACTGAGAGAAGAGTGAGGGCGGAGGTATTCATTCATTTGCCCTCCGCTGTGAGTTTGTGTTTTAAGGCTAGACCTGGAGCGTTGACCCAGAGCCTAGGCTAGGGTTGCAGTACCACGTATGAACACGAACAACCGTCAATCTGAAAGTTAGGGTGCATTTCTTGGCAGGGAGACAAAGAGGTAAGAATCACTAACTAAGGCCTTGGAGACGTGTATGTAGCTTATGATATGATATATATATTTTTTTTTATGTTTGTTAAATGCATGCATGGTCCTGGATTGAATTTATACTGCACCTTTTATTAATGGAAGTGGATATATTTATGTGACCGTAAACAAATTAGTAAACCATATATTTACGTGAAATACTTTAATAAACTTGCATTGTCGGTCACATAAATTTATAGATTCTGATTAAATGTATGTTAAATATACATTTAACTTTCAGCACTCAAAAATAGCTTTGGAACAAGCAATGACTCCCAAGCTCACCATGGCACTGATTTGCTGAGGTTCTTTTTTTGGAAAGTTAAATTTAGTACTGCACCATGAATCCATTGTGTGCGAAAATTAAATTTTCCCTATAATGTGTAAATTTTTGTGGTCATGTTAAAACACTTGACCAAACAAATATTTGTAAAAATAAAGGGGTTTCTACTCTTTTAAAAGCCATTATTGAACAACACACGATCAAATCGACGGCACATGGGGAACCCTGAATTGGTTTTGAATTTTTTTTTGAATTTTTGTAAACAGTTTACGACATGGAAGTTTGACGTTCATAAAATAATTATAATTTTACAGTTCTTATTTACGTAATTAAATTTGCTACAGTAGTATGTATTTTATTAAATCATTAAATAGACTATTGAATCATTGTGATAATGAGCTAGAAATAAGTTTATTTGTATTCTTTCCACTCTGATCACGTCATGACTACAACATACTGTATGAGCGGGGCTGTTTATTCCATGCTCTCTGTGTTTGAATAAAACATTAAGAATATTTGTTTTGTCTTACTTCATTCGTAATTATTAAATATCTTACACCACCAGCGCTTCAAATAGGTCAATGTAAACATTGCAAGGGGTCTACAGTGTCATGTTATGTTAAACCTGTTTCATCACCGGTGCTGCAGACATATATACTGTAAAAAATAACTTGGCATTACATAGCGATTGAACTTGAACTATTTGAATACAAATCACTACGGTAAATGAAGATTTTACAACTTTTAAAAATCGTATGTATTGTAGTAAAAATTGTGAATGTGTGAAAAGGAGCATGACAAAATAATATTAAAATTAAATATACTGTGCCAATGCAATGCTTTGAGTATTTACATAAACTGTAGTTGGCTGTTCCAAATTAAAATAGAAATTTAAATCTCAGTTTTCTCCATATATTTACTTATTTCAAGATCATTAAACACAAGAAACTTCCACTACCAGCTGTCTTCCCCCCTATTACTATTATTATTATTATTATTATTATTATTATTATTATTATTATTATTATTATTATTATTATTATTATTAT